CTAAAAATAGGTATAAATATGGCAATATCATCTAGCCATCCCTCGGATGGAACACCACCACATACATAACCCATGAATACAACCGTACTTGGAACCTAAGGATCTATCTTTGCATCACTTATGAACTCCTCCGATTCAACATCAACGATAATCATTCCACAGCCTCAACGGACACCCAACCCGAATGTGCTTCCATACGACTGGTACAATCTCGGTGCTTACTATCCATAACTGAAATACTTTCAATCATCCATTCACGTTACTACTTTCACTTTAGTTTCCCGACACTCCTTCCCTGATCTACTTACATTTCCCTTTCATTATTCAAGGAAGTCTACTCGACGATCGTTACACATCATCGATTGCCACGGTGCTAAAACTCCACTTTACACTACCCATTGTAGAGGAATTCCTACTCCATAACTCCCATGTACTCCAAATCTGATCACATAACTAACAAAGCCCATACACGGTCTTTAGCTAACTCCATTATCATGATCAATACTTGAGGCCAGACCTATTGATTGCTATTGCATGGCAACATACTCACTCATTCTCCGCATACTGGTTTACTAACACATACAGAGTCTTCAGCATGACTGGACTGCCTTACCAGGCCTTCAGCCTATCTGGGCCACTCTCAGAACCTTCATCATGTCTAGACCGCCCTTCTGGGCCTTCAGCCTGTCTGGACCGTTCTTCGAGTCTTCGGCCTGACTGGTACACCCACCAGCCTTCAGTCTCTCCGAACCTCTCAAAACTGTTGTACATCACCCTGAACCATTCTTCCTGGGAATCTCTCGCATGCATTCTGTTCTAGCCCTCTAGGGGTTCCTAACTCCAGATCCATCCTATGAATTTTTAACCCGAGCCTAATCTTAAGCCTCACGTCGATCAACTACTTTGTCTGAAACCATGGTCTGCTCCCTGCCCCACGTGTCTATCACCTGCTCTAACCAGTTCACACTCTCAGCTAAAGACACTGTTGAATCCAAACAGCTAACCAACCCTGGATGCTTTCTGATTCACCTGAGAATTTCCCAATTCTCCCCACTTAGTGCACCAACTACTAACTACCGATGACGAAACCGGTATGGCTCGATCGACCCCACTTGATATAGTCCCCCTTCTCCATGAACTGATTCCCTCTGGAGTGAGCAACCTCCACAGAACAACTCTACCGTCCTCGCACATCCCGAACTTCAAGGAAGTTCGAATCTCAACTGAACACTTCTCACATCGCAGTTGCTATTCCTAGTAAAGAGGTCATATATCTTATCTTCCGATCATCAATCCTCCTGGATGCTAACCAACTACAACTCCTAACTACTAAGATCCCCAATCATACTATAAATCATGCGGAAAATATGGACAGGTTAACAATACCACGCAACTATCAAGATAACAAGATAACAAGATGGAAACATACTCGCAGCGGCATCTGGCTCTGCCCTGACCTCCTCTGGTGTAAGCTGGAAAGCGCGTCCCTGAGCCCTTGGAGGCTCCGCTCCACCCTGACCCCCGCCTGTAATCATCAAATTAGCCAGTGTTGGAGCATGCATCAGTCTTGCAACAAGCTGTGGATAGTTGGCCCTCAAGTGCCCAACCTGATGGCAATGATAACAAATCCTCATATCCTGAATCGGGGTCGACTGACGGCAATCCCTTGCATAATGCCCCTCTCTCCCGCACTTGCGACATACACCACCGGACCTACAAACTCCGGCATGACCCTTCCCACACTTCTCACAAGTGTGGCTGCTCTGACCTCCAATCCTAGAGTAAACGGTTTTGGACCGTTTCAGCGTCGGCTGCGACTGCACCGGGGCCTGCTTCTGCTCTCGCAACTACAAATCAGTCTCCAACTCTTAGAACCATAATTAACCAAGGAACCAATGAACCAATCTTTTTTTCAACTTTTAGAACTTATTTTTTATCAAAAAAAAAAAAAAAAAACTAAAAATACAGAAATTTTATAACTTTTTATTCTTTTTCCAATGATATCAAATTCGATTTTTTTATGTCAAATTCACAACGTGAATCCGGATTCACACAGTGAATCCAAAAGATATTTTTCACATTCACAATGTTAATATATGAATTTAGATATTTTTAGATTTTTTTCGATAAAGAATAAGCTCTAGAAATTGAAAAAAAAAAAGATTTGGTTCCTTCAAGAACCAATAATTATGGTTCTCTATTGAACTTTTCTCTATCTATCTATCTATCTATCTCTCTCTCTCTCTCTCTCTCTCTCTCTATATATATATATATATATATATATATATATATATATATATATATATATATATCATCAACCTTATGTTCATATGCGCATGTCATCTAATTATATATAAGGTCATCCGTTATACCCACTATTAACCATTATAGTGGTGGGTGTCACATCATCACCAGTAACTATCATTAAACCTATAAGATACCCACCATTACCATTCTATTCAACATCATATTTTTATTTTTTTAAAATAAAAAATACAATAAAATAGGGCAAGTTTTGTTAATATGCGTAAATCTAAGGACTGAAACTGAGAATTTCTGAAAGTTTTGATCATCTCTTTCCCTCAAATCGCAGAACCCGACGCATGCCTTGTTCCTCCTCTTTCACCACAATTGAACACGACCACGGCCGACCACGAAAGGTCAGGATGATGTGCACGATGAACTTCCGTGGCCACGTAGACTACGACATTGCTCGTCGTCGGTATACCAGATGATCTAACACACAAATATAGTTATCTTAAAAAAATTATAGGGTGGTGTTATATTAACCCCTCACTCACATAAGTTATAAAAAAAGATACATATAGAATTTTCTAATTTATATTTTCATATGGGCATGTCATCTAATTGTATATAACACACAACTATAGTTTTCTTAAAGGGAATTTATAGGGTGGTGTTCACATGAATTATATATATATATATATATATATATATATATATATATATATATATATATATATATATATATATATATATATATATATATATATAATTTTCTGATTTATATTTTCTCGTCTTATTTATTGATTCTTTTAATGAAATTTAGAAGCTACTCTAGAAGCTAAACCGTGAAATAAATAAAGTCAATAAATATTTATAAGCAAAAGAAAGAAAGTTCGAAACCACAAAACAAAATACAAACTTAATATTAAGTCTAAAAAACTACATAAACTTATTAGTTATTGTCAAAAAAAGTCGAACTCGCACAAGGTAAATAATATTTTTTTAAATCTCACCACACTGAAATCAGATACTATTTTCCCTTTTTTCATTCCTTGTTAAAACTGTTAAAACATAATTTCATCATTTTTTGAAAATAATTATAATGTCATTACTAACTACATATATACATATTATTATATATGATTACATATACTTTGATTATACTTTTGAGTTGATATAAATGTTGATGAATTTGGCAAGTTGCACTTGGTATGTCTATATGAAGAATTTAAGTGAAGTGATATTACCCAAATGGGAAAGGAGTCGTATACTCTCATATGATTGATCAAGGATCCTTTTCGTCCTTTCACCCAATATCTTTGGAAACCACCTTATAAAAGCCCTAATTATATTTTTGGGTTGTACGGACACATGCTCCAAAAGAAATTGGAAAAAGTGCATCAAACTTTAAATAATAAAAGTTCGAAAAAAAAAAAAAAAAAACCCTCATCACAAGAGAACATTTAACCATTTTCATAAAAGATATTAAAAGGATAATTTGTAAGATGTTTTTGTGTAAATTTTTATATGAAAATGGTTTTATAGACTACTGGTTATAAAGTATTTTTATAAATTAAATATTTTAATTTCAATAATATTAAAGTAATATTTTTTAATACTGATCATTTAGTGTTAAATTTTTTTAGTTTTATAATGATTTGTAAAAAAATAGGTTTAATAAAATGTTCAAAGGAATTTGACCGTTTAGAAATCTTGGATGTGTTTGACAAAAGCTTTTAAAACATGTAAATTATATAACACATCATAGATTTTAAAAGCATGACTTATCCATACATAACGAATTGACGAGGTATATACATATCATACTATATATGAAGAGTAAAAATTAGTAGTGTTAATGAGACTAGAACTCATATAGAATCAAATTGATTTATGAATGAAATCACACACAAAAATATTGAGTTATTGGGGAAAAAATATACTTCTAATGTCAAATAGGATCAACTAAACACATGAATAAATGATCTCACTTAGACAGAAAGCCCTTTGGTAAAAAAAAAAAATGTTTTGATGAATCCCATAAATGATAGGTACGTCATTGGCCACACAACCCTTCTTTATTTGCACATTCACCCGTCTCTGTCTCTGTCCGACTGTCTCTCCCACTTCTCTTTCATCAATCTTGTTTCACCTCGTTGAAATTGTATAAACATGGCACTTGGCACAAAATAGAGATTCTCTTTCTCCTTCACAATTGGATTCTAATTTCAAAACATCCCCCTCTTCTTAATAGGTACGTTTTTTTCTCTCTTTCTTCTTCTTCTTCTTCTTCTGCTTCTTCTTCTCCTTCTACTACTACTCTCTTGTTATTGTCACCATCAGCAGAATATACCCCCTTGACTTTCTTCTCCTTCGTATCATATCTGTTTTCTTCTCTGGGTTCAGCTTGGAATCAGGATCCTGCTACCTTTATTTGCAATTTCACCTGGGACTTGCTTCAAATCAAATGGGTTCTTTTTATTTCTTTGATGTGTTCTCATAATCTCATCTTCTCTCTTAGTTGATAGTAGATTAACAGATTCAACCTTCGTTTTGTGTTTTAAATGTTGAAATCGTTCATGATTCATGATGAAACCAAGCATAACTGGATTGTGATTGTGATACCACTTACATGAACAGCTTTTCGGGAATTGAACTAGGTCAGTTCGGCAATTTTCGCGAGAATCTAATGATGAAAATTTAAATTTGCAGGAATTCTGTCATTCTTCTGCTAATATAACTTCAATTTGAGGATGAATTCTGTGTATTACAAACAACATGAAGATGGAATTGCTTCAAATCCGGTGGGTTCGCTGTCATCTGCTTCGGGTCCATGGTGGAGTGGACTTGCGACTCAATCCACTTTTGAAGAATCTGTAGGCCGAATGAAGCTTTCATCAATGGAAAACTGTGGAGAACAACTAATGCTTATTGCCCCTAAACCATCGTCTCAAAGCACAGATCAAGGAAATACGACTCATTTCAATACCTTTCCTGGTAATAAGAAGAATCATTAACCATGTTAATCTTGAAACTTTCAAAGGTTCAAATCCTATGACATTGATTTAGGACAATTGAAGTATAAAAAAGATCATATTCATTCCTGAAAGTCCAAACTTTTGGCATAAAAGTAGTTGTAATTCCATCTTTTTAGGAGTTTGTATTGAAATGAGATCAGAATTTTTTGTGGGAAAACTTGATCAAGGTTTAAGTGATTCAGGTGATTGCAAGAATTCATCGAAAGGGCAAAAACCAGTGCAATTTGAGGCTGCTTTCTCACATGAGTATGGAGGTCAACTTGAGCTAGGATTTGGTCAACCAGCTGTGGTATGTACTCTATGAACACGTTTTCTTCTTTCTAAATGATTTTAGTGCTTAAAATTTCTTTACTTTTGATGATTTATGATAGATTTGTGGCAAGTATACTTATGGGGATCAATATTATGGCATGATATCTGGTTGTGGACCTCAAATCACGGTTTGTCCTCTCTTTGAACTAATTTATCTCATGATCTTTAATTTTGCTAATAATTTACAATTAGAGGAAATTAATCTTGTAAAGATCATAATCTTAGTTTTGTTGCAAACTAACCATTGCAAAAAAGAACACTAAAATATGCAAGAATGAGCAAATCAGGCGATGCCCAATGTTTATTTTGCAACAAAAAAGTAAACTTTACTTCAGTGTTTTTTTATCTTATCAAGTACAATGACTAATTTACAATGTAAGTACAATTATTTGTTTTTTATAATTATTTTGTGTATTAATTTACAATTCAGGGTCGGATTATGCTGCCTTTGAATTTGAGCACCGATGATGGGCCTATATTTGTGAATGCAAAACAATATCATGGAATAATCCGGCGCAGGCGATCCCGTGCTAAGGCTGAAATGGCGAAAAAGGCTCCGAAAGGTCGTAAGGTATGTTGATATACCGTGAAATAACCTTTTTACCCTCGTAAACGATCGGATTTTTGGTTTTTGAAATATATTTTGTCGTTTTTCTTGGTTCAGCCGTATCTACACCTCTCGCGCCATCTCCATGCAAAGCGCCGGCCAAGAGGCTGCGGGGGCCGCTTCCTAAACACGAAAGAAATGGAGAAGGGTAATGTTGGAAATTTGGAGTCGAAAACAACCGAGCATCCAATCGACTCTCAGCGATCAGAAGTTTTGCAGTCTGATCACGAAATGAATGCCAGTAGGCCGAACATTTCGGGATCAGAGGTCACAAGCATGTTCTCCATGGGAGACCTCAATCTGTTCCCTTCTCTTTCGGACGTGATGATGTCCGGGAACAATATGCATGGCTTGGCCATGCATAATAAATGGGTTGCAGCGGCTACCGGTAGTGGTAGCCGCTGCAACCTAACAGTCTGATGGCAGATGGGATCTTGATGTGTGGATCACAGATCAACACGTCAGATCCCGTCCATCGATAGTCAAATGTGACGGATGTTTCCGCTGTTTGGCTAGGCAAATCATCCTTGGCTTTTGTGTTAACGTTGTGTCTCTTTAACGTTATTCCCCCTGCAGACATTGCAGTGTTTGGGAGTCGTTAAGAGATGCTAAATGGCCTTAACACATTCAATGGGCAAACACTTCTTTTAGATTTGTTTGTTTCACTTTACATTAATGGTGTGTTGCTTGAAATAAATCGTGCGTTTTGACTTCCAAACATTTGATAACTCTCAGTTACACGATATGTATCATATGTGACTTTAAAAACATTTGGTATATGGCATGTATCATATGATTGATACTTTTGGTTAATAAACTTCTTGTGAATTTCCCCTTGGCATACTATTGTGAACTAACTTGAATCTTGTTGGTATTTATAAGTATTCATGAATCTTAAAACCCTAATATTATGTAAAAAAAAAGTAACCGTTTCAATCAAGACTAATCATGGAAGAAGGATGGTAATAAAATGACCATTATAAACGAAGGATTTGATAAAATCATAAAAGTGACCAGTTTTTTGTGTGGGAAATGGACCTTTTTGTCTATTGATCATTCCGTACACAAAATATATAATATGTAATTTTTTTTTCTCATTTGCATTAAACCATTTCAAAAAACTTTCTATGAGCATTTTTAAGTGTAATATTAATTGTTATTCAATCAAATATCATATTTTAATCCTTTTGTATCAAATTTACTTCCCATTTGTTATGTTTATTTAACAATTTTTTGTAGATTTATATCAAATCAACATCCTATTTCTTATGTTTATTTAACTTTTTGTATGATTTTACTAAAAAAACAAAGCATTTTCTTGCATATCTGATATTGTTAATGAGATTTCAGATTTATACTTGAAATTACATAAAAAAAAATTGTCCAAATCCAAAATGTTGGTCTTTTTTATTAGGAAAAATACATATAAAATTTGTTAATTATAAAATTAGTTAAAAATGACTTGAGTAAATAGCCTATTTTTCTAAAACTCAAAAACTTTGGTTTTATAAAATTATTCAACCATAATAGTCATTTTTGTTAATATTCCTATATTCAAAAACTAAAAATTATTTATCTAGAATTTAAAATAACCATAAATACATGCCAAACAATACTACCCTTATCCTCTCTATTTCACTCCAAGCAACCTTGAAGAGCAATTATATCGTTCTTCACATTATTCAAACCAGAATCCAAAATGTCTGCTTCTTCTTCTTCATTAATCTCCATTGCCAGTTCTTCAAATGCAGCTTCTTCACTCTGCAACACCAAAGCTCTTCACATACAAACTCCCACAATCTCAATCTCCAAAACCCACTTCAAAACCCCAAAATTTTCTTTCAATCTCAAAACCCATTACTTGAATTTCCACCCACTGCTTCGATCATCCCTCTCCCGCCCCAATTGCTATCCGTCCAATGAAACAGTTCAAGTCGATGAAAACCCAGAAGCAGAATCATCTCTAATTAAAGAAGAATTAGAAATCGACGAAAATGGCGATGATTATGAAGATGAAGACGAAGATGATGAAGAAGACGAAGAAGACGAAGAAGACGAAGAAAGCGAATCTGAATCGCCCGAAGCTGGGAGGCTTTACATCGGAAACTTGCCGTACGCGATTACTTCTGCAGAATTGTCCCAAATATTCGGAGAAGCTGGTGATGTAATCTCCGTGGAGGTATAATGTGTGTGACTGTTGGAATTTTTGTATAATTTTGGGGATTTCCGGTTTCTCGTAACCCTAATTTCCATTGGATCAGATTGTTTACGATAGGGTTACAGACAGGAGCAGGGGATTCGCATTTATTACAATGGCAAGTGTTCAAGAAGCTAAAGAAGCCATCAGAATGTTTAACGGATCTGTAAGCGCTCTCTTCCATTCTTACAAACGAGTTTGAATCCAATTTCATCTCCAGAAATCGTTGAATTCAGAAACATGATTGCGACTACTGATTTTGATAATACTCTGCAGCAAATCGGTGGAAGAACAGTGAAGGTAAACTTCCCGGAGGTGCCAAGAGGAGGTGAACGGGAAGTGATGGGCCCAAAGATTAGAAGCAGTAACAGAGATTTTATCGAAAGCCCTCACAAAATCTATGCAGGTAACCTTAGCTGGATCATAACTTCTGAGAAGCTCAAAGATACTTTTGATGAACAACCTGGTTTTTTGAGCGCAAAGGTGATCTACGAGAAACAATCAGGGAAATCTCGAGGTTTTGGGTTTGTCACTTTTAGCTCTCCTGAGGCTGCAGAGTCTGCACTTAATGCTTTGAATGGACTGGTAAAAGCTTCAAAACTCCCATTATTTGTGCATCTTTCTTCTTCTGTAATCTTTGTTTTCTTCATTTCTGGTCTTTGTGATGAATAGGAGGTTGAGGGTCGGCCTTTGCGACTGAACTTGGCAGAAGGAAAAGGAGATGTGTCTCGTTCAACAAGAACAGGAAGAAGTTCTGAGATCAATGTCGATGGGAGTGAGATCCTTTCGAGTATTAGCTCCTAATTAGGTGGAAAAAATTGTAGTTAAAAGCTTTTAAATCTTCGGTTGAAGGAGAGGGAGAGAGTGGAAGTTTTGTGCAAGAAATCGGCATTCCTATGCATTTGGTAATAATGTATTCTATATATTAGTATTTGAATATGGCATTTGAAGTAGTTGTTTAGTTTATTAATATTGTTAACTCGTCGAGTTGAACGTATTTTTGTAAAGATTTTTACAATTTGGAAAAGTTATTTGAGAGTTTTAACCAAGGTTGTGATTAATCGAAATTTTATCCGTAAATGTTTTACGCTTTATAAAATCATGAGTGTAAGATTGCATTGGGATCACAAGATTCTAGCAAAATTAAAATCTCCAAATTTGCTAACAAGTCTTGTTTGTGGGTTGCTCATTATAACTCTTATAGATGCAAACCGTAAATATTAGGAAGAAAACTTTTTTTTTTTTTAGCAGAAAAAGAAACAATATTATTGTGACAATATACACCTAAAGACACAATATCATAAATGGATTAACATGGATGCCACAATGAATGAAAGAAAGAAGTCGTGATGCTCCATAGGCTTTTTGTGATATGCAACTTTCGATTTCACGCTGAATGTACAAATTTTTAGGTTATGAATGAGATTTTTGAGTAGAAATTGTGAATTTACTAAGGATTTAGTAGACCAAATATTAACTATAAAAGAAAGACTAAAGACTTGAAATTGAATCGAAGTAATTTCTTTTGATTCTAGTCCGGACCTTAAGATCGAGTAGAGTTGTTTCATAATCGGTCATAGTTTGATCATTGATATTTTGTATATTTTGCTTGTATATTTTTAATATCTCATTTTACATTCTATTTACAATATATATATATATATATATATATATATATATATATATATATATATATATATATATATATATATATATATATATATATATATATATCTTTACTATCTTATAAAAGAAATCTTACTATTTCTAAAAATAGAATAAATATAATAATATTATTTTTTTAAGACGTACAAACGATTAAGCTAATATTACAAACAACCATTAATAAAATAATATTAAATTTTAAATTTGTTTTGACTCCTTATATTTCTCAGCAAAATCCTAATTTCATGGTCATTCAAAATTTAAAACCTTTTCATCCTAATACGCTTCAACAAATATCCTTTAAATGTTGCATTTGCAGCTGATTAAAATATCTCATAGCAGACGTGTGTTTGTTCTCTCCACCTTATAAACCCTGCTATAAATCCCACTGCCATGAAGTATTTCCTTATAAACCCTAATCGTTTTTCTCCCTCTCTTAGACGAAGACAATGTGTTTTTTTTAAGAAAAAAAGTTTGAAAATATTCCAATTTCTCAAAAAAATTTACCCAAATGCGAAACTGGGTAAAATTTTCCATTTTGCGAAGACTACAGGGATGCGAAATAAAAATTCTGCACTTTTGTCTTTTTATGACCCCATTTTGCGAAGTTGGACCACTTATATTATTTCTTGAAAAGATCAGGGGCCAAATGCGAAACTCTTAGCTTTCTTCCCCAATTCGCATTTATACATTAAAAACTTCGCATTTTCATTCAAATTCTTCGCATCTTGCATCCATCCGTCTTTGAGTTCATTCGCATTTCATCGCATTAACTGAGAAATTAATCAGTTGTCTCATATTCGCATTTCAGTTGTTTGAGAAACCCAGATACGAACCCAAATGCGAAACCCACTGATTTCAAATGCGAACCAACCAAAAATCATCAACCACGTACTTGTGTCACCAAATGCGAACTGAATATCACCATTAAATTCTCCTCGCATTCTATAGATGCGAACACAATCCAGATCTCCGACTCCAAGCTTGCGAAATCAAAATCAATTAACCTCAAACAACAAATCGTGAACTTCTTATGCGAACTGTTTTCACCCACAAAACCAAATGCGAACTCAATTGATGTCATATGCGAACTGATTTCATAGATGCGAACACAATTGATTTCATATGCGAATCCACATCCATCGATATGAAACCAATACCAGTTACAAGCAATTAGTAGCAACCATCGATCCTCTAATTTTCAATTACTCAGCCTTCGCTTTTCATACAACCCGTCGACCCTGAAAAATCGATAAACACAAATGTCTCATTTTTAGATCGATTTTCTGATTAAATGTCATATTTGAAGAATGATCATCCTGTTCTTCATCATATTCAACATGTTCTTCATCATATTCAAAGTTAGGAATCAATGTTCCGATTCCATCAAATTTATCATCTCAAATCTTCGTTGTTTATCCCTTAGAATCAAAATCACCAATCACAGTCTTTGTTCTTCAGTTATCAACAACCCTTAGAAATCAAACTCGATCTCAACCCCAAAAAGAGTAGCATTGGGTTTGTTCACTGATTTTTCAGGATCTTATATTTCCTCGGTTTTTTTCTATTTAGTTTTTGATTTTTAAATGTTTGTTTTAAAGGATAGTGATGGTGGTGGAGAATGAGACTTATGTTGAAGAATGGAGAAGTTTGGTTTATTTCTCTTTTCAGTTTTACTGTTCTTCTAAAAAATAATGGTTCGTATTCTTTCTTATTTCGTTAAATGAGTTTCAATCGACATCAGTTTTTGTCATTAGGCAGGATCTAATAGCTAATAACAAAAAAAATATTGGAACAATTAATATTTGAGAAACTAATATTCGAAGCAAGAAGTTTTGAATGGATATTAAACGATAGTTTCAAGGGTTCTCTGATTTTGCTAATGGTAATCAACAGAATGCTTACTTATTGTTTTTCCTTATGAGCTTGTAGACTTGTTTGGAAGCCAGTTCCAAGAAGTTGAAGCAGATATACAAGT